ACAGAAGACAAGAGAAAAGTACACGAACTACGCGCTTCGAAACTAACACTCACGAGAATACAAACCCTATAATATTTTCTCTTGACCAAAAGCTATTGATAAAATTCAAGGAAAATAAGCAAGAAATATCTCTTTATTCCAAAAAGTCTTAGATAGACCGTTCAAAAACGAAAAAACCAAGGAATTTCTTGAACTTACAAGACCTGGGCGATATATGCACCATCGTTGTTTACATAAGTTCACGGCCATAGCGTTGTGTTAAAGATTCTGGAAGTTGAATAATTTAAAGACAAAATCTTCGATTTAATACTACCTTAAAAACATATGAACACTTAAAAAAATAAAATTATCAGTCCAAAAAATAGTCAAATATCGCAGAGTCTCACTTGAAGTTAGGAAGTTCTGTTTTCGTTTTCGGGCCTTTCCCTACGCTTTTGAGAATTGCATTTTTTGTTACCCCAAAACTAATTCCGTCGCTTTTACACTCAAATTTAAATTATTCCTAGAATATGTAGTTTCCATTTAAGCTCCAAAACGTCTGCTATGATTGGGATAGATCGAAAGAGGTAACAACTGTATGCCACAAAAAAATTTGAAGTACATGCAAGCAACTAGCTCGCACTAGACACATGTATGCCTTTGCATACCTATTTTTTATTTGTGTTTTCTCTTAAATCGACAGCATTAACCTTTTAAGAGCTTTTAAGTTGTGTCGTGCTGTATCACAGTTTATCGCAACTATTTATAACATAGCTAGTAAATTTGTCTTATCAAATTCAATTGTGCGAGCGTGTTTCATATTCCTTTCTAAAATAATTCAAATAGTACGCGCGCTCTGATAAGCTGGAAACCACGACGCGAAGCGGAGTGGTTTCCTACGCTTATCTCGTGTTCTCCTAACCTCCCACGTGTTTACATCAGGCTATGTAAACACGGAAACCATTTTACATTTCTTCAATTGTGCACGCTCATGACGTCCGCAAACAAATCCTTCGAGAAAAAGATTTTCCATCGGGTTGAAAATGTTATAAAACAATTGGGTCATACGTCAGCTGTGCGTTCATTGAGATATGAAGCACTTGGGAAGTTTGGAGAGCACTCGAGAAGCTAGAGTTGCTTTCGGCTACGCCTCGAGCAACTCTTATGCATCTTTCGTGCTCTCCAAACTTCCCGCTTCATATCTCGATGAACGCACGCTGACATATGAACCAATTGTTAAATTGTATATAGGTAATTCAGCCTCTGGCTGTCATTTATTTCTACAAAGTATCCATTCATATGTCTATTTGACAAGGCCAGTTTTTCGAAAGTTCCGGTGATTATCAGTTCTGGAAACATAATTCTGGCTGGCCACGTCTGAGATTCTAGTTCGAGGTATCGATATTTTTAAGGAATAGTCGTGTGAGTTCCAAAGACTACTCACAGTTGTTTTACAGGAGAAACGTCAAAAACGGAAGCATGTTTTTGCATTTATCCAGTATTCTGTCACAATCTTTCCGCTTTTCGTGTCGTTTGGATAGGTATTGCGACAGTTAGTAGAAAAGATTCGTTAAATGCATTCCATGAATTACTAGGCAGTGTAACTTATGGTGAGCCATGACGGTCGATTCCACTAAAAAATCACTTCGTGGCTTTCTTAAACTTTTTCCTACTTCAACGTCAGTGTTACCAAACCAATTAACTGATGAAATCGAGAACAAAAAAATTCCTCGTCAAATGTTCATAATGTCTTGAAGGATTTTACGGTAAAGGAACAGAAGTCGCACAATCATAGTGTCCTTGGGAATCAAAGACTCCCCTAGTTGAAAGATGAATCGTGTCCAGGTGATATTCACCAAAGCTGAAGTCCTCAAATGACTGAAAAAGAGGAATATTAAGAATATCAGAACTACATCAAAAAAGGGGAAGGTCAAAACAATTAAAAGACATCAAAGAGTTTCGTATTTCGGTGGCTTCCACTTTCCATAACGGCAGCTGGGTGTTATGGGCGTCAAGGAGAGACTGGTAACAAATCAGCGAGACAACTCTTGATCAATAAGCAATAACCTAAAAGACAGCAGTTTGATCAAGGCGGAGAGGGACTAAGGAACTAAATAGTCATACATGTATCTTTTTTGTTAAACATAACTATCGAAAATTAGAGAGCAATTGATTCCCTACTCTAATGACTTTTCTTGCGTCAAATGATATTCTCTTTTTAAATCTTGGTGCCGCATCGCCTCTGCCGCTTTTGGTCGAAGTTTCTGCTCCATAGGCATCATCACGAAGTTTTGAATTCATTACAGTGGCATGTAACTTGACACAGTCGTATTCGCGTTTCATCAAACCGGCAGACACGAACGTATCGACCAACGCGTTAGCCAACAGCTGGAGCCTTGTTAAGTAGAGCAAAAGAGAGAAAAGGAAAAAAAAACGTTAGCAGGAAAACTCCAATGGCGAGAGCCCAAAAAATCTTTTCATTTTCAGCGGTTCATTTTTGAGCTCTTCTATTTTGAGAAATTTCTTACTACGGTGGACATTAAGAAGTTGATTTTGGGTCAAAGATACCTAAATAAAACTCATTGAATCTTAAGACAACTGTAATTTTTTTTTGGTTAATAAGATATTCAACAAATACCAAGGCAAAATTGAGATTGATATTGGTGTTAGCAAAGGACCAGAGCACAAAGTTAACTTTCAAAGCTGAAAATAATTAATGATCCACCTTTTTCACGTTTACCACTGGCTGACAGCACATACATAAGTTAATCGGAATCTCATAGAACAGCAAGATTGTACACCAATAGTATGGAAAATTAGGAAAAGTTTTTATAAAAACCCTATCAAAGTAGAGTCTGGGGGTTAGTTTTCATGAGATTAAATATTGTGTAAGTAAGGTTTGCTGATCCTTTTATTTACCTGTCAGAGTTGTCTTTTACAAGCACTTTTGCATACAAGACATTTACTTCAGAAGGATCATCATTCATACACTCCACACCTTTGAGTTCAACCACTACTGGCTTGTTGTGAAGCCACTTGCTACAGACAACAACAAATAGTTTATACTACATTAGATTCAAAAATATCTCCAGCTTAAAACTTTAATTTTAAATCTTTATGTTCACATTGTTAAAATTCATCAAGAATACAATTGATTAAGGTACTAAGACTGATCTTAACATTACAACAATACTGCTGATTTAAATTAATTTTTCCCAACAACTATTTCATTTGCAGTTCATTTTTTTCTTTAACAAGTTGGTTTGTACCTACACTTAGGATGACAGTTGACAATAGACAACAAGGAGCTACCAATCAGAACATTTGAAGACTTTTTTGTTTCATTCAAGAGATGGACCACACTTTCTATCAGTTTACAAGTGTAATAACCCTTGCAGAATGATGAGAGAACATGAGAAATGTTTGATAATTACTTAACAAGGTCTTGGTAGCACTGTGTCAAGATGTCTGTTGCATTTTTCTACAAATAAAGTAAAATATATTGTAATATAACTAAAAATATAGGAATTAAATCATATTTTCAGAAGGAACATTAAAGTATGGTTTAAATCCTGGATCCAATTTTGAAGTAGTGTTAGTAATACTAACAAAAATGTAGAGGAAATGTACTAATAGAATATTCAGTTATCTGAATAAAACATGATTCCAACATGAAGCAAAGATAATAAGATAAAGACAAATGTACTAGCTATGGTCCATTGGTTTTATCCATCTTAATCATCGCATTTTACTACATCCTAACCAAGAGAGGTTATCAAAATGTTAAATTCAGAGGTTAAAAATCCTTACCACTTCTTTGACACTCAGTAAGGTCAGCATGCCAACAGTTAAATGAATCTTAGTTGGCAGCTGAAAGATGTTGGCATCAATCCCTCTACACTGCAAAGTACAACATCATTCATAATTATTTTCTGGTTTAGTAAACATCCCTTTGTGACAGTTGTTGATCGTCAAAGGATTTGTTTCGTTGTAGAGTCAGTCGGATTTTCAAAAATATCTTCCACCAGAATCAAAGACAATTGAATAATTTACAGTTTCATCAACACTACCACCAATTATTTAGTGAGCTAGAAGATGATTACCTCAAAACAATCTTTGAGCACTTTAACTTTAAATTCATCCATTTTCCGTTCCAAGTCACTGTTGTACAAAGGAAAACACAAAAAATGGGTGAAAGGAATCTTCTGCCTGGAAGATTCAGCAATCACCTCTATCCTGCTTCTTGCTCCCACCACACCACTCCTGTTGGGACCAGTTATCACTACAAAGAGACAAAAGAAAAAAAACAGAATTAAATAAGAACAAGAATCTAATCATAAAACAGCAGTTATAAACTCATCAGTTGTTAATGACAACAGATCTTCCCCATTATTCACTTGACCCTTTAGCTCTTACAAGTAATCAATGTGCAACTTCTCTGTATAATATCAATACATTATGCAGCAAACAGGTAATGAGAATACTCAAACTTATCAGGTAGAAGTTATTTTCTTGATCTATCACCAAACTCTCCTAACTAATTTACAAGGAAACGTGTAGCAGCTAAAGGGGAAAATTACCAATCTGATCATGGGAGTTTAGGGGTTAACCTTGGTTGGGGGAAGTCAAGGATAACCGCAAAGTCATGATACAGAAAAGTTCCCACTTCTTGTCTATTTAACAGTTTCATTTCTTATACTAGAAGAATCAAACTGTGATGCAATGGCTACGTACTGACAGCATTGTTTATAAGGTCTATTTGGAGCTCACCAATATCTCCCTCCTCTCCCTGTCTTGGAACCATTATTTGTGTGTTAGTTTCTTTTTCGATTTTCTTCTTTGTTTCAGCCCTCCTTCCAAGGATAAATTTAAATAAAGAGCTTGGTATTTCCACAGATAACCTGTATCCCTGCTCTGTCCTCTCAACAGATTCACTCACATCGCAAGCTTCGTCATCTTCCCAATCCACCCGTTCTGAAAGACCTTAAGAATCGTAAGAGCAAGAGATCAAGACAATGAAAATCAAGTGAAAAATTATGGAAGAACAAGCTTAAAAATGAAGCTTCTAATAACATTTTATTTAACTGGTTCAATTTTCGTACTTGCATGTTGCTTTGGAACACGGTCCGAATGATGTTCGATTTTCTGCTCAAACGGCATTTTTCGGTAGCATCGTCCTCCAATATATATAAGCGTTGGTTTCATCACATCCATTTCTCTCAGGTAAGCAGAAGATCAACGTCGTCCGCAGTTTACCAATGCACGAATAAGTACGTTCATGTCCAATCTAAAGAAACACTTTTTCATCGCCATTTTAAATTTGTACCTAACAGGACTGGCACGAGTTAGTGCCTCTCCACGCATAATTCCCAGAGTTCCAAGCAAAACTTTATTATCGTTACCTCGGCAACATATGGAAAAGGACATGGAGAGGCTCTATGGAGGAATGAGATTCAAAACAACGACGTTATGAAGAGTACCACGGCCTAAATTCTCTTCAAACGTTCTTTTTGGCCATTGAAAATGTTTCAAGTAGAATTTTTAATTTTGAAATAACAGACTCTGATAAAAAATGCCTGTTGAACGTGTGCCAGTTGTCCACAAATTTGGGATCATCTCACACACTCAGCGTTTAGCTTTGGAGGATAGACTTGCTAAGAAATCACTTGCCACCGAACCACCACGCACTTTCTCTAGGACAAGGTGAAGATCTTACTTAGTATGTTTAGTTAAACTGTTTCTAAGAACAGACGGCAAAACTCATTGTGACGAGTTTTGAAAATACTTTTAAAAATTGTTATTTACTAATTATATATGCCCCCTCACCTCACATATAGAAATTGTGCTTGGGCAGCCTGAGGTGTTATGGTATTTTCCATACATGAAACCGACTAATACATGTACTTAACTTAATTTAGTAACTAAAATATTATATATACAATCATATTTTTTTTATTAACAGAAGGTTCCCTTATGAAGTGACAGAAGATTTTATTGCCAAGGTAAGTGACTTTTCTTGCTCGTTTGAAGAACCTGATAAAAATTTAATTGAAAGACAATTATTGATAACCTTTGTTACGGGCATCAGAGATTAAACTTGAACTCTCAATACCTCCCTGACGTAGGAGGTTACGGTACTCCATCGATAGTGAGACACATAGCAAGTCTGCTGCTTGATAACTAAAAGTGTTACTTAAAAGGTAGCATGTCCTATTATTTTTCCAGTTCAATGACAGTAATGAAGAAGATAGGAAAGAACTTGAAGGATTTGCCCTCAAAATGATATCACGAGCCAAAGTAGGTATCAAGATAAAAAGGAGACAAATGAGTTCAAAATGGAATACTTTTTGAAAACTAGTAATAATCATGGATTAGTAAAGTGCATTCAATGTAGCTTAGGAGTGGATACTTTTGTCATGGCATAGCAAAATCCACAGTATACTTAAACCTACAAACATGGAATGGTGGCATACTCAATCACAGTTCTGATTTGTAGAAACTCATTTTGTTCAGTCGATGGTTGTAATTTATCTGCACATCTTCCCATGGCATTCAGACCAAAGCATGAAGTTGAGGCAAGTGGTCAGCTAGTCCAAAATAGCACCCAAGCCTTAAAATTGCACAGCATCAAGAAAGAAGCAACACAAATAGTTTGTCTTACTAACACTGCACACAATTTTACCAAGCAGAGTTTATACATATTTTCCTTAAAAGAAAAATGTCAGGCTGAGTGTATAAGGGAATTAGCACTGCACATCAGCTGTAAGAGAGGGTGCTCAATGTTATTTTAATCATAGTCTTTTGGTAGCATAATTAAAATTGTTGAGTTATTGAGGTGTGATACAATAGCTTTAAATCAGAAAGGACCTAATTTTCTTGATAGACATGGGTCATTGATGTACCTTTGACTGCTCTGTGTAAATGATAGATAAATAAACCGCTGTTTCTTGTTGCACTTGTAGAGAAGAGCTGGTATCATGGCTGGGGGGAAAGGAGACCATGTTGATTTAGCTAAATCATGGACAGAATTGGGACTATTAGCACAATGTTCAAACCAACAAGTACAAGAAGGTAATATAGGATATGCTTCAACAGCTGTTCACACATTTATATGCAGCACTGATTCATATGTTGTTCACTTCTGATTACAGAATCTCTAGAATTGCTGATCACTTCTCTTGGTCATGCCCCACCAGCTGCAGATCAGCTTCCTAGGTTTGTAACAGTTGTAGTGATGGTAAAGTTCAAGTATTGATATTTGCCTTTCAAAAACTATGATTATGAATCTTTTGTGTCTCTGAAAAACATCACAAACATATACACTGTAGGATACCATTGAACCAGGTCTGGCAAATCCCCATAGAATCTAATAAATAATCATTAATATATTCCAGTATTTCATCCATTCCTTGTTGTTATAATAAAATAGAAATGTTTCTTTCCCATAAGTGAAAAAATCACAGCATTTTGCACCACAAGTTCTAACTCTTTTTTAAGATTCCAATAAATTGAAAGTTATGATATTCATTAAGACAATCACTGTTTTTGATTAATTCACAGCTTGGGCACTAAATTTAATTTTAAGTATTCCAGTGTTGTGAATTAAACAAAAACCTGTGGTGTCACTCAAAAAGAATTTGCATGTTTATTTGCTTTTCTCTTTTCAGCTTGTTTTATCTTGCAAAAAGTTGTCTTCATTGGTTGAGAAAGTGTGGAATAACTCAGTCATGCTTGAGGACAGCTGAGTTAAAACTCATCAGGGTGTGTATTTATGGTAGATATTTTGCTCTCTTGGCTGGCCCCTTCAAGCGGGTGGGTGACTGTACATTAACTTGAATTCCTCTTGTTTCAGATGGGTCATCTGGCTTTTTTGAGATTGTATTATCACAACATGACACAAGAACTCAAGGTACTGTTTAAGACTTTTATCATCAAGACAGTTGAGTCAGATCTGGAAAAATCTCCTCTAGGACAGTTTGGATATTTGCATAGTTTGAATATTATTACTTTTATTCATTTTTCACTTTTTTTGAGTCTTGTATGTGAATTAATACCAATACCAGAGCTCCATTATATCATAAGTTTAATTTAAATAGTTAGGTTTAAAAATTAATTCATGACTTGTGTGTTCCTCAATAGGAATATCAGGATGAAAAGCACTCCTTACTCCAATATCTCTCAGGTGATGAATTGCTTAAAGCCAAGTTTTAAATAGAACTCTGTCTCCAGTCAGACCAGATCAGCATATACAAACTCTTCATTAACCACTTTTATTTTCCTTCACCCTTTCACTCCCAAGCCCTCATTAGTACTTCTTACTGTGTGCTGTACAATTCTTTTAATAATTATATTTGTTCAATAATCCTCCAACTGATATATTAATATCTTTATTTTCATGACTTGCCTGCTTAATATTACATTGATATTGTAAGGAGGAACTCTGTCCTGCTCACTTAAAGTATTAAATGAACCACTGTGACTTTACAGGGTTTCCAGAGGAACATGAGGAGGCTTACAAATCATTTCCAGGTGTTTTGCTTGCAGTCAGATACATAAAAGAAGTGGTGAGCAGTAGTTTCAGTAACAGTTAAGGGACACACAAACATTGTACACTCTTGAAAATCATTGAATGTGCGCCAGCTGGACTACTGAGTAAGAAAAGTAACAAAACATAGTGAAGACGAACATGGTGAATTAATTTGTATAATTTAGCATTTGCTGTTCACATAGGGTTAAATTTTTCAATTAAGATTATTTCTGCCAGAAGAAGTGACATTGGTACCAAAATCTATCACTGGTTAATCAGCATAGAGAGTGCATATATACACTTAGACAAGTGCACACACCTTCAGCAGTATTTTTATAACTTTTGAAGTTATATTGAGCTCAAAATTGCTCTGAACATTGGACACTTTCAGGCATCTATGGTCTTGTCACCCTCATTACCTAAGTTGATGAAATCCTGCACAAAACTGTTTAAAATTTGAATATCAGAAGATTTTAAGAGGGAATGTCCACTATGATGAAAGAAAAAATAAGCAAAACAGTTATCTGGGCCTTTATTTGTTTTCTTTTTTACAGTGATATTTCTCTTGCCTTTTTCAGGGCCATCTTATTTGCACTGGTTGTGAGGATCCTAATCAAAAGGAATCTTTAGCTGTAGAGACTACAGCAGACACAGGAGCAACAACCAAAACAAAGACCACAAACCAGGGTGAACAAGGGGCAACAGCAGTACCTGTAGGGAATGCCACTGAGGGAGGGAGAATGGGGCTGCCTTTGTTACTGGAGGAAGAGGAAGAAGAACAGGGTAGTGGAGATATGGTATGAGTCCAAAGTCCTAACTTCTTGGATATTTCATATACTTGTAATGATGTTGTGATGGGTGTGTTAAATTGATTATACTATGTGTGTGTTTTGTTTTGTTTTTTTTCTTTTGCAGGAGTTCCATGAGGCTGTGTCTATCAGCCCCCCTCACAGCCCAGCAGCAGCTAGTACAATTCATGACTTGTCACCAACCCTCTGGCATGCTCTGGATATATGGAGGAGCATCATGCATAGAGGTACTGGGTTGAGACAGGCTTTAGAGGGACTGAGCATGTGTGGAACAGGCCTGAATACAGAGTTATGGTATGTTAGGTGACCTCATAGAATTAGATTGAGGCATAACTCCTGATTTAAAAATATTTGTCAAAATAGTTAAGAACACAGTAGTGTTTATTATCTTTGATGATTTCTTTCTTATCTTGAGAGATATAAATGCAGTTCTTGTCATGGATTGCCTTATTTTTTATTTTGTTACATTGCGCCTATTTTTCTGTGTTATAAATGTTGCCCTATAGAGGGTTAATTTGTTTTTAATTTTCCTGGTTTGGCAACCAAACCAGGACGAAAAGGTTTTTTTACTTGATAACATAAATTTTGCAGTGTATGAGGCAGTTAGCCATAATCCTATCATTTCTCTGTGTACACATTTATGTTGTACTCGCCTCTTACTAAGCTCTCTCTTGTATCATTGTAGGATGGACGTCTGCTGCGCTTTTCAAGTACTCACGGAAGTGTCTAAACGTGATATTACTGTTCTGCGCACTTTTCAAGCCTTAGCCGCTGGTATGTTTACCAAACCAGCAGAGATATCAGACGCGCATGCGCGTCACATTCACGTTTGCAACAACTGTTTGTCGACATTAACTGGACACCAGTCCTTATCAGGCCCAGATCTACATGACGATGGTTTCAAGTTAAATCATGAAAAAACTCGATCAACTTCAGGCTTCTTATCTGTTAGAAAGACTCCAAGTTTTGTGAAAGGATTGCGTGACTTTGCTAACCTTGGCCTCGAAAATGACAAAGCCAGGCAGCCAGAGGATGAAGCAGAGAGCATTAAGTCACGCGATACTTTAAGTGACACATCTGAGGCAAGTTTCGCTGATGTAAGTAGTGAGGAAAGTGAAAACCATGAAAGATCTGGATTTGTTCGTGGCAGTTCGACGAGCAACTTGCCAAAAACCTATAAGAAAACAAGGAGAACAATTGCCGGTAAAGATGAAAGCAACTCTGAATCTGAGGAAGAGATTGAAAAACCACTAAAATCACAAATAAAGAAATCAAACCAAACAAAAATTCTGGAAAAGAAAACTGATGGATCCACACGAGTACATGGTGGCATAGCGGTGCGATTTAATGTCAAGCAAACAGAGTTTTCATATCCTGGGGGTGGAGTCCCTGCGGCACGAATGGAGAGATCAGTTACTAAGGATAGTCTGTTTAGTGTCCCTGAGACACAGGGTAGCTCTGTTACTCTTCAGTTAGAAGACGAAGGTGAGCAAACTAAACGGCCTACATTATCAGAAGTAAGAAAGTCAGGTTTCGTGGTGATGTTTGGAAAGGAAATATACACCCCCATTGTGGCACGTATAGTTTACATTAAACCTCTGGCATGTTTCTGAGATGTTTCAGTTTTTTTAATTGCTTCTTACAAATAGCTGTTGATCATTGTTCACAGATGACACTAGTAGCGTCAAGACAGGCACGTCACAATTCTCAAATCCACCTGGCTTGACGGGGTGGCGCTGGGAACTGGCATATCTCTACACAGACTGTATGACGTCAGTTTGTCTGAATGGTCAGAGCTCCACCATCCAGAAAACCGCCCTGCTTGGGAGTGAGGCTAACCGGAAAGTTACCTTATATGGTAAAAGAAACGACATGGTCCGTGAAGGCTTGGGACTCCTAGATCTGCTTAAATTGAATTTTTCTGCGAATCAAGGTTAGAACTTACTCTTACTCGTTCATACTTTTCGTTTCTCTGTATTCCGCGTTTATTTTTGCTTTTTTCCTCAGCAATGCAAAGCTCTAATTAATTGTCTCTTCACAGGTCCCCAGGCTACTCATAAAGATTGGAGTTGGAGAGTCAGGTTTGCAGCCGTGCAGGGCCTGGTGCGTATTTGCCGTCAGTGTAGTGATGATGCAACAAAAGACGGAATACGAGGAGTGGCCTGGAATCAACTTATGAAGCATCATTCCCAAGAGAGAGATGTACGTGTCTTGGAGGCCTGGAAATTAGCTCAGGTGAGTTGAATAAGTGTTGAATGGAGAGGAATAAATCTGTTTGGTAATCACTGGAAATGTTTTACGGGTTACATTTTGACTTAAGACATGTTCTTTAAAGCGTTTTCTGTGAATGAAATTGAAATAAGAATGAGTATTCTGAACGTTTTCACTGCAGCCTGACATGACAATTGGGTGTTGGATTAAATTTGCCCAACACGATTTCAACAGAACCAATCACAACGAGGTCTATTCGCTGAACTGTAAAACACTTTGAACACCCGATGTCTTCCAGTTAAATTCTGTAGAAATTTGTTTCTTTTTTTCAATGTGGGAAGGAGAGGGGAGGGAAGGGAAGTTGAGACTGAGAATGCCATCTGAATTCTGAGTTTGTCAGTTTAATGCTTGCGTTCCATTGGTTTCGTTGTAGATTGAATCATGTCTTGATAACAAGATCCCCTCACTCGATGTCATCAACTCTTCGTTTCCTGTCTGGGCTGCGGGCGGCTTGTCGGCCGTTTTACTTCCTTCGCTTCCGCCAGTCGTACCACCCAGCTCTCGCTCCAGGTCCCGAGTACGCACAACTCAGTCAAGACAAGCAGCGCCTGTAGTCAAGAGAGGTCCCAAGCGTCCTTCGTTAAGGTATAGTGCTTTTTTAACATGTCCGATGAATTTTTGTCTTGGATATTTTTTTTTACATGTATAGTTAAAGTTACGACTCGGTACACGTTTTACCTCGTATATTGCGTATGTGGTAATCTCGAGGACTTTCTGCTTAATTCTTACTTATTCGTGTTTGAATTAAACCATTATTCTCAATTTTGCCGACTGATAGTCGTCGCTGTATCTTTTACTTGATTCTCCTGGTTCTGTGAATTTGTTATTGCCTCCCAATAAACTGCTCAGCCGTGAACTTATTTAATCGTATGTTTTTCCAGGCAAGAGATTCTCTTGGCTACAGCAGCACGTGAGCCTCAACCCGACTATGACAGCCGCATGAACCACCACTTAATGCTGGTCGTAGAGGACCAGTGGAGGAAACAGCTTCATGAAGAACAGAAGGAAGAGGAAGAACAAAGGAAGATCGACGAAGCAGCCAAAGTTGAAGTCATAGTGACGAAGGACAGAAGACGGACTATCCAGGGGAGGGGTTCGGGTGATAATAAAGGGAAGGAGATGGGACGGAGAAGACTTGAGGAGAGGTCTAGTCAGCAGGTTATTGAAGATGACATGAAAGAAGTGTAAGCATAGAACGGAAGGTGACTTTGGATGGGTAACTACTGGAACAGACAAAATAATAGACTTCAAAATGAAAGCGAAACAGAGAATAGATAAACTAAGATGAAAGTCATACGAATAAAACCTGAGAATGTCTGAGGAGCCGAAGAGAACCCTGTGTAGATATGACGTGAAGTATAGCGCGTGGCTTTTTGACCCATATCGATCAAATTGCAAGCTCTTAATTATATATCTAATATTTTTGTCTTAGACTATTGTGCTGTTTTGAAGCATCTGTTTGTTAAGAGTACCACGTTTTCGTTGCCAGATAGACCAAATAAAGTCAGTCACCTGACAGATAAATACTCCTTAAAAACAGTGTTATAATTCATTGAAGTCACAAGTAGGCGGAAGGAAGGCTCCATCAGACATTCCCGCCGTTTTTATCGAGCAAGTATTTTTCCTCTGAAGCCAGATTTATCGGTGATTTCTCAATGACAGTCGGAAAGAAACCATAGGGAAATTCAAAGAATGTGCTGATGTGGTTGATGCCTTGATTCTACCCTAACGACCCTATCACCTGGTTTGCGTTATCTCACGAAGATAATACCTGCACGTGCATCTATCTCACTCATCCTTTCCTTTATCTACTACTTTAATCGTGGTATGAAGTTATAAACCAATTTTTTTTCCATAAAAGACTGTTTACTTTAGTGGAAAATTAATGAAGTTCTGGGATTAGGAAATCAATCTTTTTGGTAAAATTATTTCTCTGAAGAAGCAATTAACACTCAAATGAGGGGGTGAAAGGGGTTTAAGCATGATGCAGAATTAGTGTTTTTAATTTTCGTGACCAGTGAGAATACGAAGTTAAATCCCCGTAAACTGTAATTTTTTT